TGCAGCACGCTTCAGAAAGATTTGAAAGTAAAACATGGCGGCTGTTGGGGATACCACCGAAATCCACCGAAGCTTATTTATTTATTTACTTATTTATTTGTTTATTTATTTACTTCTTTATTTCTTTCTTTATTTATTGATTTATTTATTTCTCTCCCTCTCTCTCTCTCTCACGCTTTTCCTGTTCATGGATTTCATAGATCCTGATAAGAAAATGAAAGAAACATACCAACAGCAGGCATTACCCTCTGGTAATTTGCCATAGTCATGGAGTATCACTATTTTTCCCTGTCTGCCATAATCCTTTTTCGACATGACATGACATGTCATCCCCGAAGCCCCAACCTGAGCAAGGCTGCCTTGCACATCATTGCTGGTCAGTTGAATGAGGACCAGATCAAGGTGCCCCCTGGTGCCGCGATGGGTGTTTCACTAAAATGCTCAAGAAAATTGAAGAGCCTAACCAAGCATTTGAAGGAATTTGACAACTACAAAGAATTTTGGGTGCAACATCTTGGAGATGGGTACTGTACCCATTTCTTCGCCTTTTTTCTTGGTCGCTCCCACACAAAACGCCGCAAATCGCACCCATCAACAGGCGTTGAGAGACACCTTCATGGGCTTGGACAAGAACGGTGCGGGGTTCAGTTTTGGGACCGGGTCAAGTCATTGCCGTTGAAATTTGGGACCTTTTTTGGTGGGTCAATGGTCATATTTTCGTCTTAAACCATTCATAAAGTGGAAGGCGGGGCGATCATTTTGACCCATATCATACCTGTACCACTGTATCCACTCATCGCAATTTGGCGGAGTCCAGCTGGGATATGGAAGAATACTGCCTTGGGCTCACATTTTTGCAGCGTTGATTTGCCGCGGAACTGCAATTCACAGCCAACGTGCTGTTGAAACGGGCTGAGTAGGTGATGGCTTGCTGACCCCGGCCGAGCTCAAAGAAGGTTTGCAGAAGGCGTGGTGAAGTTGATGGACGAGTTTCAAAGCATGGAGTCAAATATTGGACATAGATCGACGGTTTTCATGGCATGGTGTGGTAATGCGGTCCGGTCTGGTCTGGTGCAGTATGGTATGGCATGGTGTCATTGCAGAAGTAGATTTTGAAGATTTTTGAAGCACTGATCCATCAGATTTTTTCCCGGAGATCCCTGCACCTGCGCAGGCTGGCTTGAAGGATATCCCTCCAGATCTGCAGGCTATCATGGAGGTGTGGTTTTCAGCGGATGGAAGATGAGTTGCAGTAGCGTCGTGGGAGACAGGCATCCCATATCCCATGCACCTGTAGGTACAGTACATCCCAGCGTTTCCTCATTTAGGTTCTTCCAGAGCATGATCAAATCGAAATTGGCCATGTCATGTCCATGTCCAAACATTCCATAAGTAATTTAGATATAAATATGACTGGGATATTCCATGACATTCCAGATATAACTGTGTTTTACCAAGGTTGCTGACCACCAACTTTTGACTGCACCCCCAGTTCTGTCGTTTGACTTCCCTACGCTCCAGGACGTGGATGCTGATGGCAGTGGCGTCATAGATTACACGGAATTCTTGGCGGCCACATTGGACAGGCTGATGGGTAGCCCATGATGGGTGGCCCGTGTCATCAGCGGCTTGCTGGAAAATCCCCGAACTAAATGGAGGTTTATAGCTGGGAAATGCATCTATACATGGGGGATTTTCAAAAGGTTTGATTACTGGAGGATACTGGAGGGATCCAAAGGGTATTGTATTGGAGCTCCCCCCAACCAACTAGCAGAATCATGTCACAAGAGGCTCTCGAAACTGCTCAAGATGGGGATTTGATTTCACAAACAAACGTTGGTTGGCACCGCAAGCAACATGCCGTTTGGCCTCTGGTATGTAGCTCAGAATCTTGAATTGCAGTGGGCCTGAAAGGCTCTGTGGTTCAGGACCACTTGTTGCTGACTATCAATAGGACCCATGCTAATTTCGGCCACTGCGATCATGGCTCCAGGCGTCAGTACATCCAGGAGGCGCTCCCAAAAAACAGCTGCGTTGGGTGAGGTTCTGGGTACCTGGACTTTGTTTGGGATTAATGATTAAGATAAGATTCCTATATAATCTGTGATAAAAGAACCCTTGCATTCCAGTGGGATATCCTGTTGGTTTCCCTTCACAAAAACAAATTAGATTTTGGCAGGACTTCCGTGGATACACATCCCAGGATGTATCCCACGTTGAACATGTAGTAACCATTAGTAACCATGATTATAGATGATACTTAAGCCACTTACATATAATTCAATGTTATTTGGGCATGGGCCACATGGGATGACCATTCCAGATTTCGGAGATGCTGAATCTGGGGCTGCAAAGGATGTTTGCTGGTCTGCGTTCAGAGTCTTCGACAGGATGCTCGGTGGCAGTTTGTGCAGCAGACAAGTCACAAGTGGAAAGAAATTGACGTTGAAAGGATAGAATCAGAACTCTATTGCGTTCTGTATTCCAAAGCGATACTCGTCTCAGAGCAATCTAGACATCGAAAGACTACACATCGAAAGACTACAATTGCAGAACGTTGTATTCAAATGATGGGAACCATCTCGGTGGCAGAAGTAAGCAGAAAGATCCTAAAATCTTCAATCAACAGCATAAAGCTACTAGACTCATACAGAGTCACAGAAGAGACATGTGAAGCAACCTTTACATGTGGTAATCACAGTAGCAATTGGTTTTCGGACAATTAATTTTACTTCCAAGTGTCAAGGAAAAAAAGGAGAGCACACGAGCAGCTGTCTCGATTAAACTTAAATGGACTATTGGATATGAATTGAATAGACCAATCAAATGAACATTGATTTACATTGGTGGAAACTTGGATCATGAATCACACACTTCATGGGCTGAATTTGGGATGTACCCCCCACGGATTCATTCAGAAAAGAAACCATTCCCAAGGAACGGTGATGGCAAGATCTCCCAAGATGGGTTGAAGATGGTGCTCCACAACTCCGAGGCACAGTAGTTGGTCTTATCAAAAACTGGGGGATAGCATGGGATATCCCAAATTTGATGGTTGTGAGTTGTGAAAACCATTTTTTCCCACCGATTTTTGTTGCTGCTGGTAAAATTTGGTCCGCCGATAAAAGGGAGCCAATTTGAGAGAATGTGAAGCCGTGAAGCCCGTTGATTGATGCACTGCTGCGGGCTTGATGCCAAACACACACCTCTTCGGATTGCCAGCCGTGCCAGGTGGAAGACACCTTAGGAAATGGAATGATTCTGGATCTGCTGAAGGAGGTGGATGGCAACGGTGATGGTGTCATCGACTTCCAGGCGGTGTTGCAAAGTTGCAGTGTATGCAGAGGCACAACATGGATTTTTGTCCGCCACATTTATTCTATCTATGTGAATCATTTTGAATCTGTGGATTTGTTTGCTTCAGACCCAGGCATTTTCAGCTCCAAAAGTCAGAATCAGATGCCGCTTCTGCCAGTGCTTTGAAGATCTCCTGCCCCAGGAGTTCCTTCAGATGATGCGGGGCGGAAAGGTCCCGACCGGAGGCAATGCCCTCTGAGGCTGGGATCAGAGTTTCGTGAGTTAGGATCTCCAATTTAGGGATGATCTTGATCTTCTCAATCGTCTCATTTAATTACGGATGATGTTCCCATGTACGGATTATTTTCCAATTTAGGGACGCTTTCCTTCCCAACTCAATCCCATTTCGTTCTTTTTGTTTTTTTCCAACCAAACCATTTAACCCTTGGCAATGAAACACGGCTTGCTAGAAAATACCGCATTTAGTTCGATGGTTTCCATCAACAGAAATAACTATTTACATATGTAATATATAGGGATATATAGGCTATAGGGGATTTCCCAGCCAGCCATGATTACCGGAGGTAAATGTTCAGGTACTCAATCTGGTTGGGCTCCCACATGTGGTGTCTCCATGGTGTTCTGTTAGAAAACAATATGGGTGACCTCACGCGATCGTGGTGTCTCTATGCCGTGGGGTGACTTAACGCGGCCACCAAGTATATAGTGTAGGTGTCCATGGCTATGTCCATGACTGAAATGGCTGGGGTTTTTAGGGTTGGTTCGTACACTTTTTTCGGCGATATTGCGAACGAACATGTTTCTCATAAACGTGCATATACTTCCTCGAGCGTTTATTTATGCTCTTTTGAAGCTGTAGGATGGGTTCCTCAGCGTTGGTACTTTGCGTCATGTCTCAAATCTTAAACAGGCAGCTCTGAACAAGCAAATGCATGCAAATGCTACTGAAGCGCTCTCAACCAATCTTGAGACAACCCAAAATAGGCTATCCTTCCGGTAATCAAACATGGTTAGCTGGAAATTCCACCATTTATAGATTTTTCCATATTTTTCCATTGCTTTCCATGAAGACCTCCATTTAGTTCGGTTATTTGACACCATTTTTACTCGCAGTGAGAGTTCACGCTCTGCACCAGACTGCCCTCGGTGGCCTTCATGGCAGGGTCGCCGTGTCGCAGCTGTTGACGTTGCCCCGTTGCCCCGTTGCCCGAAGCGGCACCGCACCGCGTGTCAAAAGGATCGTTGGAAGCAGATTTTCAGCACAGAGGCGTGACATTGGCATGAGTTTCGCATAGTTTCGCGCTTGACATGGTATGGTTCAGAGAATTCTCATGGACTTTGCAAAGTCAAAGCTCCATAGATCACCATGGTCATCCATAGCCACCATTATCCTTGAAACCCATTCACCGATGGTGTCAGTGACGGAGTTACAGTTATCCAAATCCGATGCATGTAGCTGTTAGGCTCAAGAGCTCCGCATCGAATTTGTCCCAGAAAGTTTCGTGGGCGAGCTCAAACTCAAGTCATGAACTGTGTAGGCGAACACATGAGGGACACAGATTTGAATCGCTTTGAATCGCTCAAAGTCCCAGATTGGATGGTTTAATACTGAAGATGACTGGACAGCTCACCTCTTCTCTATCGTTCAGCAAAGTTTGAGTGATCTGGAAGTGAGACAGAACATGGTGGACTCGGATGTTTTTTTGACCCGCCATGGCGCACGCATTGACAAAGAAGACAGGCACTCCAAAAGGGCGAGTGAGTTTTGCACTTCTTCCATCTTCTCCCCAAAAATCAAGTCCCGGAACCCCGGAAAGTCCAAAACATGGGGCCGAAAAAGACTCAACCACTGGCCGTCTCTCACCACCAGCTCCAGTGGCTTCAGCCAGGCATTGGCTTTCGAAGGCGGGACACCATCGCAGGGACGACCCGCAGCTGTCGCCCGCAGGGCACTTGGGAGCTGCGGAGCTGGCGGCCAAGTGTCACCAGCTGCACCAAGAGAGGCGCGAGCCCCTGGCAGATCTGGGAAGGTTTTCATGTTGGTTCCATTTTTTTGTGTCCAAAAACATCGGAATCCAAATTTGGGGTGATATGCAAAAGAGAATGGAAAGGTATGGAAAGGTAAGATGGAAACAACATTTCTGCCTCCGCCCTTGGCGCTCAAGTTTTTGAGCCATGCACATGTGATGCTCAGCCCACAAGGCCTTTCGCACACATCATCAGTTCGCCCTTTGTGTTTTCACCTCAGCTGTCGGACTGATTTCTTTTCGTGAAAGTCCCATTCAATCCACTACCGATGCTATTTCCTTTGCAAACTCACCCCACATCCTTGGAGTTTGAACATGTTTGACTATGAAGTAGGGGTTATGATCCCAACTTGAGGGGGTTGTTTGGTTGTTTCCATGGTTACATAATGTTACATAATGTTACATATAATATTACATACGTAGAGTATATTAGGTACCCATCAATAGCCAGCATCCCCAAGTTGGTACACCATGCCCTGAGGCGCTGTGTGGAAACAGCCCTGCCCGTAGCCAAGTCGCTGGAGCTTCCGATCAAAGTGGAGCCGGGCATCTGCGAGATCCTCACGGTGGAGCGATGGCTTGTTTGGATCTCTTCAGGGATGGGGGAAGATCTTCCATGATATGGCAGTGATTATGGTGAAAATATGGGGAACATATGGGGAACATGAGGTTCTGAGCCATCATTGCTTGGTGGTTTCCAATTTTTTTCTATGTTTGTTCTTTGAAAAAGCCATAGAAATGGGAGACTCCCCAAAGACGCAGGATCCAATCGACCTGAGTAACTCAATGTGGGAAAGTTACCCATGCCATAAACCTACCAGCTTTGGGGATGGTTTCTACATGCATAAAATGGTGATGACTTGGGGATGGTGGCATTGGGCATTGGGTTTCCCACATTGTGTTGCCAGGTCTTCCCCCCGGGCTTCCTGGATGCGGAGGAACTGCAGAAAGATTTTGGGTTGGGGAACTCAGAGACGTGGCCATTGCTGGTCTCTTTTAGCTCATTCATTCATCATTCCAGCTAGCTAAATCATACTATTCCATGACTTGAAGGGCTCACCATGATGGCTAAAGAGAACAACCCAGGGCCTTACTTTGGGCCAATTCAATGTAATTCAGCCGATGGCGAGACTTAGTTGTTTTTTGATGCATGGGACATGTGAGTGATGATTCATCCATGATTAAATATAATCCCATGAATTAATGATTGGACCGAACCATTGTGAAAAACTTGTTTAGTATAGATACAATATTTAGTTATACAATGTATATTAACTTAACTGTATACAATCTTACATACACATCATTTATTAATATTTATCAGCAATCATTTCGAGAAAAAACAATTGAGCTATTGAAAATACCACGGTTGATTGGTTATAATTGGGAGTTATGCTAACGATCAAGAGAACTGATTATTATGATATTGATTGGTTATCGTCTACCCAGGTGGGCAATTATGATCACCCACATATTACCAAGGCTTTATTAGGACGCACACTACTAGTATTGGTTATTGTTATTATAATTGGGCAATCACATTTCCACGAAATTATGATCATCAATCACCACAAATGTATACACATGTTAATATTCCATCAATTCCATTATATTCCATTACGTAGCTTAAATTGGGGGAAGGGATTATTGTGGATTATTGGGGATACATCATTCTACATCATTATAAATTATACGTATATATATATACACATCATTGAGCTATTCAAGATACGGTTGATTGGCTATTGGGGGGATTCATCAATTGGTAAATGGGGGGATATATCAATTATTATGCATCACTATACATCATTCATTCAAGGTATTGGGGGCATTAATCAATTGGTGACAACTTAGTGACAACCCATCATCAATTGGAAACCTAATGATAAATACCCTCTGGTAAACTAACATAACTATGGAAAATCACCATTTTGAGTAGGTAAATCCACTATAAATGCCATTTTCAATAGCTATGTTAAATTACCAGAGGGTATCATCTATAAATCAATTTATATAAATCATAGTAATCATAGATCAACCCACGACTCTGCCCTTCCTTCGCCTTGCCAGGTCCATAGACCTCTCCTACCAGCCCTTCCTGCAACGTTCGCAGCTCCGTGGCGAGAGCTCGGACTTCCAAGCGGCCGAGCGCGCGGCCAAGACGGCCAGGGCGCTACGGGAGCGGTGCATGTGGTGGGATTGGGGTGGGGGTTGACCATGAGAAAATGGGGGACTTCCTGGGAAAAATGATGGTTTTATGAGGTTCTTAAGTGGTTAAATGATGTTAAATGATGTTAAATGACGTCAAATGATGTTAAATGATGTTAAATGATGTTAAATGGGATCAAAATCGGAGTTTCTGATGGAAGAATAGTGAGGATGAACCATATAGAACTATGGCGATTTCATCCATAATAAGTTGGGATATATCCTCGATATGATGGTGGCCTAATTCTGTTTTGGGGTAACACCACGAATCGGGGACTATCGGCACCGGGGATTATTCACTAGGTACGATTTGGGTACTGAATGGTCCCTGTTTGAAGTGGTGGCAACATGGTTGGTGACTTGGGCATTTCTCGTGAAATGACTGGAACTAAAGGGGGGTAACTATGGATTACAAGGCTTCCAAGTTTATGGTTGGCGACTGGGTTCATATTTATCCTAGTTGCAAAGGGTTTGAGGTACTAGCCATTTGCAAACTTTCAATAGGCCTGTGGAGGTCCCACAACCACAAAAGGTCATCCTCACTATCCATCAGACTTTGATCCCATTTAACATCATTTAACCACCAAAAAAAACATCATTAAACAAAAAAACCCTATCATCAAGGGTACATCCCAACTTATTTGGATGAAAGCGCCATAGTTCTATACCCATAGAAACACCCCCAACCATGGTTCAATGGAGGGGATTTGGGTTTGAACCAGTGGACTATTTCAGAATCTTTGATGTCAAAGATTGACTAGCTGATGTGGCCACAGGGGTTTGTCCTATACCGGGTATACCCACAAAATGGCAACTGTAAGGGCGAAATTGATGAGAAAATCATGGGATTTGTTTGTTTCCTCATTATTTTCACACAAAGCCAGAGGTGTTTCCTTCTGTCGACTGTCAGGAGAAGTTGCCAGGACGCATTTTGTTCGTTGGACACGGCGCTTCCTGCTTGGGCATTGCGGGGGCTTTTGGGAGGGAAGACTACGTCGCTTCGACGCAACGGCTGGGGCTGGCAAGAGGTTTGCCATCCCTGCTGTAATTGTCCTACCATGATTGGCATCTTTTCAGATGATTAGAACATACCCTCTGGTAATTTAACATAGCTATTGAAAATGGTGATTTATAGTGGATTTTCCCATTGAAAATGGTGATTTTCCATAGCTATGTTAGTTTACCAGAGGGTAGTTTCTATTTGCTGTTGGTTTGGGAATTGCTGGAGGTCATCAAAGTTGAGATGTGTTCGGAGCTACGAACATGCACGAGGTCGGCTACACCAGTTTGAGCCACTTTGTGTATGATGGCACCTGGAGAGTCAAGAGCTTCAATGCTGTGGAACATTTGAGTGCAGGGCTCCCCAGGTGCGAATGGTGTCATGCTTCCACTCAGCAAATCTCCCAGCAACTTTGCAGATGGCTTGGATATCTTGGATGATTTCTGGGTTTTCATGTAATTTGAAGTGTGGGACGTAGCATCAGGTGGCTGAAGTGTGATGTGTAGCACTGCCAAGGACAAAGAAACTTCACTCGCCAGCGCGTTCTGATAAAAAGATGTGGACAGAGTTGTTGGGAGGCCGATACTCTGAGTATCTTAACACGAATTGAACGTCCCAAGATTCCTTGAGGGAGTTGCATGGCATCTGTTGATTTGGCAACTGCCAACGGACACATAGATATCGAGTGCCTGTTGCGACCACTTGTTGATCTGGACATATCTGGACCAATTTCAAAAATTGTTGATGACAAGGCAAGCAAACGACCAATGCAAGTATTCGGAGGATGGGATTGACGCATTGCGACCATTTGTGGCATGACTTGTTTGGATTTGGAGAAAATTGGCATGCTGCTACACGTATGTGTAGCCATATAGAGTTTCTTTCGATTATTCTGTACCTTGTCTGATGCGCCTCTTCAACCGTCGCAGCAAGTAGACCAAAATGAGTAATTATCAACCTAGGACGCCATGTGTTTCATTCAAGGCTTGGGCGAGTCAGTGGGAGGAAGTATGAGCGTTTTTGTTACATAAGGTGACTTGACAGAGAATCTACCAGCACCATTGAGCCATCATGGCCTAACGATACTCTACCTGGAGGGCTACACTCGGGTATAGCCGCCATGCCAGTTGGAATCATTTTTCGATGGCCCAGTTGAAGGGGACCTTTCTCCCCAATTGCACCTTTTTTCAGGCAGAGAAAGATGATCCGATCAGCCTTAGTTGGTCAGACTGTATATATTGATATATTGAAATTGCCTGGTGACTCAGAGCTTGGCTCAAGAAAGCATGGAAGCGACATGACGCACAGGCCCGATCTAGTGGACCGACAGGTCTCAGCCAACACAGACAAAAATCGATCGATAGCAGCCGTTGGATCCAACCCTTTCGCACGTTGCATAACTTGAGATCTTGATGGCTGAACGTTTCAAAGGAAGATAGCTATCTCAGAGTCTCTTTCCATTATTTCCATTTCTTTTGGCCTTCTTCAAAAAGGCACACAATTACAATCTCAGCTAAACCGCATACAGATGCTATAGCACAAACCACCAAATTAAGAATCGTTCCGCTCATCAAAATCATTTATGCCACTCCACTCAAAGTTGCCACTCCACTCAAAGTTGTATGTTCTGTTGGTGCATTTTCGCCAAACAACTGGCCAGCCATGGACGTGTCCATCAGCTGAGCCGCTGATGGCCGTTTGGCGCCTCCCAGGTGGCTTGGAAGATGACAGATAGAAGATAGCGTGATAGCGTCTACTCTCTGGTGAATTAACACAGACATGAAAAACCAATGCTTTCCCAAGTCCTGTGAACAAACGCTGGGTTTTCCATATCTTGAATTCCTGCAGGGTAACCATAACCACTATTATTACCCAATCTTTGACCAGAAGAGCACATAATTATGCCCCCCAGATGGTTAATTGCTCAGTCAATTGTGGTCTGATGTATTGTCTTTCATACAGCTTGGCTCAGCTGCCAGTGATCAGGCTTCTTGTCATGGTCACTGGCGTGGTGTGCAAATGCGGAGGCTCCAAGGAGCGCTGATAAGAGGAGATTGCCTAGGAAAGATATGGAAAGATATGGAATAAGAGGGAGGGGGTGAGAATATTTAAGGGCTGCCGCCCCTGCCGCCGACCCCGGAATCAAACATCAGGAACGGCAGTTTGTGTCCTCGCATTGATGGGAATAGCAAGTTAGGAGTAGTAGTAGGAGTAGTAGTTGTAGGAGTAGGAGTAGGAGTAGTAGTAGTAGTAGTAGTAGGAGGAGGAGGAGGAGGAGTAGTAGTAGCTGTAGTAGTAGTAGTAGTAGCAGCAGGAGTAGTAGTAGTTGTAGTAGTAGTAGTAGTAGGAGTAGTAGCAGGAGTAGTAGCAGTAGTAGTCGTAGCAGTCGCAGTCGTAGTCGTAGTAGTAGTAGTAGTAGTAGTAGTACTAGCAATGGCAGTAGTAGTAGTAGTAGTAGCAGTAGGAGTAGGAGTAGGAGTAGTAGTAGTAGTAGTAGGAGTAGGAGTAGGAGTAGGAGTAGTAGTAGTAGTAGTAGCTGTTGTAGTAGTAGTAGTAGTAGTAATAGCAGCAGGAGTAGTAGTAGTTGTAGTAGTAGTAGTAGTAGTAGATTGCGCGTGTCGTCGCGGCACGCAAACTAGCAGGGCGGTCCGTGGCTGGCAAACAGTGGTGTGAAGAAACTGATAGAAGTGCTGCGTCAAACCCGGAAGGGAGCACCAGAAAGCCGGAAGGGAAGGCACAACAGGCGACAGCGGAGAATGCAGAGAGGAAAGGCCGATCGGAAGGCAAAGAAAGTCCGAGCGACTATACGTACAAGTGTCCGTTTTGTGATGGCACCATCGAAAGCAAAATGGCAACTGGCCGCATCAGTCACAGACAGGTGTGTGGTCACCGATTTCGGGTTGACAAGGGCGCCGTCGTGGGAGCCGTCCCGAACAGTGTCATGCATACCTACCGGTGTCCATTTTGTGACGGCACCATAGCGAGCCCAGTTGCAACTGGGCGTATCAACCACAGAGGTGTGTGTGGCCATCAATTTCGGGTGCACAACGGCGCAATCAGGGGCGCGGTCCCGAACAGTGTCAAGCACACCTACCGGTGTCCATTTTGTGACGGCACCATAGAGAGCCCACGTGCAACAGGGCGTATCGATCATAGAGCTGTGTGTGGCCATCAATTTCGGGTGCACAACGGCGCAATCAGGGGAGCGGTCCCGAACAGTGTCAAGCATACCTACCGGTGTCCATTTTGTGAGGGCACCATAGAGAGCCCGCTTGCAACAGGGTGTATCGATCATAGAGCTGTGTGTGGCCATCAATTTCGCGTGGAGAACGGAGCCAGGATCTCCAGCCCCAAACACGAGCACCCGTGCCCGGCCTGTGGCACACTGGTGACATCAGCAAAGGCGACAGGAAGAATACAAAGCAGCCACAAAGATGCCAGTGGAAACCAATGCGGACGGAAAGAATGGGTAGTAAAGTAAAAACAGGATGGTAAAGTAACAAACGTCACCTAAGGAATCCATAAAGATAGGCAGAGCAGGGACCCAGAACCTGCAGAGACTCCAGATCCTCAGAGCCAAGATGCCAAACGTCACCTAAGGAATGCATAAAGAGAGGAAGAAAGAGTGCAGCAAGTGAGACTGTGGACCCCCAAGGGAAGAAAGAGTGCAGCAAGTGACACTGTGGACCCCCAAGGGCCCCAGAGACTGCAGATCCTGGAGATCCTGCAGAGCAGGGACCCAGAACCTGCAGAGACTCCAGATCCTCAGAGCCAAGATGCCAAACGTCACCTAAGGAATGCATAAAGATAGGAAGAAAGAGTGCAGCAAGTGACACTGTGGACCCCCAAGGGCCCCAGAGACTGCAGAGATCCTCCAGATCCTGCAGAGCAGATCCTGCAGAGCAGGGACCCAGGCAGAGACTCCAGATCCTCAGAGCCAAGATGCCAAACGTCACCTAAGGAATGCATAAAGATAGCAGGGACCCAGAACCTGCAGAGACTCCAGATCCTCAGAGCCAAGATGCCAAACGTCACCTAAGGAATGCATAAAGATAGGAAGAAAGAATGCAGCAAGTGACACTGGGCCCCAGAGACTCCAGATCCTCCAGATCCTGCAGAGCAGATCCTGCAGAGCAGATCCTGCAGAGCAGGGACCCAGGCAGAGACTCCAGATCCTCAGAGCCAAGATGCCAAACGTCACCTAAGGAATGCATAAAGATAGCAGGGACCCAGAACCTGCAGAGACTCCAGATCCTCAGAGCCAAGATGCCAAACGTCACCCAAGGAAAGCATAAAGATAGGAAGAAAGAGTGCAGCGAGTGAGACAGAGCAGGGACCCAGAACCTGCAGAGACTCCAGATCCTCAGAGCCAAGATGCCAAACGTCACCTAAGGAATGCATAAAGATAGGAAGAAAGAGTGCAGCAAGTGACACTGTGGACCCCCAAGGGCCCCAGAGACTGCAGAGATCCTCCAGATCCTGCAGAGCAGATCCTGCAGAGCAGGGACCCAGGCAGAGACTCCAGATCCTCAGAGCCAAGATGCCAAACGTCACCTAAGGAATGCATAAAGATAGCAGGGACCCAGAACCTGCAGAGACTCCAGATCCTCAGAGCCAAGATGCCAAACGTCACCTAAGGAATGCATAAAGATAGGAAGAAAGAATGCAGCAAGTGACACTGGGCCCCAGAGACTCCAGATCCTCCAGATCCTGCAGAGCAGATCCTGCAGAGCATGGACCCAGGCAGAGACTCCAGATCCTCAGAGCCAAGATGCCAAACGTCACCTAAGGAATGCAGAAAGATAGCAGGGACCCAGAACCTGCAGAGACTCCAGATCTTCAGAGCCAAGATGCCAAACGTCACCTAAGGAAAGCATAAAGATAGGAAGAAAGAGTGCAGCGAGTGAGACTGTGGGCCCCCAAGGGCCCCAGAGACTCCAGATCCTCCAGATCCTGCAGAGCAGGGACCCAGGCAGAGACTCCAGATCCTCAGAGCCAAGATGCCAAACGTCACCTAAGGAATGCATAAAGATAGCAGGGACCCAGAACCTGCAGAGACTCCAGATCCTCAGAGCCAAGATGCCAAACGTCACCTAAGGAATGCATAAAGAGATAGGAAGAAAGAGTGCAGCAAGTGACACTGGGCCCCAGAGACTCCAGATCCTCCAGATCCTGCAGAGCAGGGACCCAGAACCTGCAGAGACCCCAGATCCTTGCAGCAAGTGACACTGTGGACCCCCAAGGGCCCCAGAGACTGCCCTAAGGAATGCATAAAGATAGGAAGAAAGAGTGCAGCAAGTGACACTGGGCCCCAGAGACTCCAGATCCTCCAGATCCTGCAGGAGCAGGGACCCAGAACCTGCAGAGACCCCAGATCCTTGCAGCAAGTGACACTGTGGACCCCCAAGGGCCCCAGAGACTGACCTAAGGAATGCAGAAAGATAGCAGGGACCCAGAACCTGCAGAGACTCCAGATCCTCAGAGCCAAGATGCCAAACGTCACCAAAGGAATGCATAAAGATAGGAAGAAAGAGTGCAGCAAGTGACACTGGGCC